AGGAAGATGTTCAATCCACACCGCAGCGTGGTGACCCAACTCTGAAGCAGGAAGATGTTCAATCCACACCGCAGCATGGTGACGCAATTCGGAAGAAGGAAGAGGTTCAACCTACACTGCGCCAGGGTGGAACTCTACCAGGTCCGACTTGGGTTTTTAGTGGAAACAAAAAAGGTGTTTCGAGAAAGTAACCTGTGAGGAGCACCATGACTCCCAAACTATCGACCTTCCTGTTAGGATTGAACTTGGCACTTTATGGACTTGCAGAAAGGGTTTCATGGTCAATCCTTCTAAAATGTGTCGAACACACCAAGCATGCCAACATGTTCCCGTGTCCCTTCAGGTGCTTCACATCCTTCGAGCCAGCCCAATGTTCCACCAACACCACCACCACTTGTGCCACCGCCACCACCACCTACCAACTCAAACAGTTTGCCCAACGTCCCTACCTCCCAAGCATCCCAAGCACCCCAAGCACCCCAAGCACCCAAAGCACCACCCACCTTCCAAACCCCACCCAACGTGTCCCCAACCGCGCAAACCGCGGCGAGTTCCGGCGGAGCGAGTTCCGGCCCGGACGGCGCCGGTCCGGAGTGGCCGCGTCCGGCGTTGAGCGATGTGCTGGACCTGGCGGTGGAGTTAAGACGACGGGTGGAACTGCTGGAGATGGAGAAGGAACACTTAGTCAGAGCCTTACAGGCCGCCTTCGAGAAGGTGGCGGAGTTGGAGGGGGAAAACTGGAGATTGAAAGAGGCTGCGCAGTTCTTCGAGGCCGCTGCGGAAGAGAGGGAGAGGCAGTTGAAGGACCCGATGCTCGACAGGTCCATGGCATTTTTGGGGGTCCCGTTGGTTTTCAACATGTTTCTTTATTTTTTCCCCTCTTATTGACATATCCATGGCATTTTCAGGCCATCGCTACTAGCTTGGAGGCCATTGCCTCCAGGCAGGCCATCCGCTCCCCTGTTGCCACTTGTTGGCCGCTCCGAGCTTGGAGGCCAACCCGCTTGGCCCTCCGCTCTCCTAATCCCACCGGTACCGAGGCATCAGACGGAGCGTCCGCTGCACGTGTTGCACGGAGCGTCCAACGTGGCGATGCCGCGCTTCCGCGGTTCCACCGCGGCTCCACTGCGACGAAGTGCCACGGATCCGACCTCTTCCAGAGAGGATGGTTCAATGCCAGGGTCCCCGATAGATGCACCGGTGCACGCACGACCTGAAGCTTCTTTTCTGCAAAGAAGTGAGTCAAGCTCTACTAGTTTTTGGTTCAAACGGTTTTCTTTGTAGGTCCAAGGGGTTGGTTCTCCAAGGGATTTGCCATGGCGAGTCGAAGCTTATGAGAGTTTTGCCTGCTGCCAGAGGCTGGGTATCAAGCAGAAGTCCCTGAAGATGATTCTAGATGTGATGCTCAGTGGCCCAACTACCATGTGATCGCGCATGGCTTTCAAAGCCAATAAACATGGTGAGTCATGGGGAAAAGACATGCGAGTGCATTGGGCCATGTGCGGAATGGCTGCATTTGGGTTTGCGTTGTGTGCATCCGTGGTCCTAAGAGCAACATAGCAGCTGCGGAATGTGCCACTTGTCTCCCAGTTGCTACTTCTTGTAACCCCCCTGTGAAGGTTTTTCAATCCAAATGCGGTGGTTTATTTTATCAAGAGTCTACATTATTTGACATCAAGGTGATTTGCACATGAGGAAGCCACGAAGTATCAGGGTCCTAAACCGTGTAGATGTGCGAGATCCAAAAAACCATGCGTTCCAAAACATAGACCATTCGGTGAAAAAGCGGAGAACAAACATGATCGTGTTCTCCATGCTTCAGCTCCCACAAACCGTGTATATATGCCTCTTGCATGAACCGTGTTCTTTTGTCCCAACGGATCATCCGGATCGCGACAAACACAGAACGAGACCAGGAAGGCCTTATAGAAGGCCTTGCGCACCAACACCGAAGAATAAAGACGATGCCAGGTTTCATCTTGCGCTTCTTTCAGCATTCTTTTTCGATGGAACGGCAGTCTGATAGAATTTTTTAATGAATTTGAGATCTCCAGCAACACCACATTCTTCGTTGATGTGAATTTACGGCTTTCGTTCTTCTGGGAAGTTGCCGTTGGCTCCACCAAAGGGGCGAGCGCACCACACCATTTGAGCGCAGATCTTCTTCGTCAGGCGCCCGACCGACCTCCCTGCGGCGGAAACGACGTGCGCGGCGCTGTGTTCGGTCTCAAGTGGGGAAGGAAAAAGAAGACGAAAACGCCAAGAAACCACCACCTAGGTTGGACCAAAGAGTGGGCATCCAAAGGACAGACGCGCTTTTTTTGTTGTTCTGGCGCTGTCAGGCGGCAGTGCAGTAGGTGCCATGTCCGCGAAGAAGGCTGGTAAGAAGGAGGAGCAGGTGCGGGACCGCGTTTCCGGTTCTTTTTGTCGCCAGGTTCCATTCACACTACAGCCAACAAGCAGAACCAAACTGGACCATCTCAAGCAGGGTGGAGATCTGGGGATCAACGTTGCATCTCAAGCAGGGTGGAGATCTGTGCTGGACGAGACAACACTTCCGCCGTATGCCCGCATGCGGGCGCATGCGGTCGCATGCGGTGATGTCTGGACGCGCTGCAAGGGCGCGAGGTGGGTCAGGTCGAAAGCGAAACCAGAGGTGGATCTCAGGATCGGTGGCTTTTCGGCATGCGTATCTTGCATGCCGTGTTGTGCCCTTGCACAGCTGACGACACGGGCCAAAGCGGATGCGATTCAACAGGCATCGTGAACCTGCTGAACAAGGCCAGCTTCCCACCGTCACGTCAGGGCTGCCACAGGTGCAAAGTAAAGGTTCACCGCACAGGTCTCAAGAAACAACTTCTGCAAAGCGCCATTCCTACGCTTGCAGAGAAGCAGTAGCAGTGACAGCCATGCACAGGACAGCCGCCGCCCCTCATGCGCGCGAGGCAGAAAACCGGCAACACCTAGGACCCCCCAGTACGGCAGGGACTCCTAACCTTCACCTCTACCCACTGCACAGTGTGTACGGCAATCAAGCCTATAGAGACAAGACCATGAAGAGGTCAAGAACTATACAAGACCATGGAAAAGGACAGTCATGAGGAGTGACTGTGAGAAAGATACGAAGTACGTCATCAAGATGACCATGTAGGGTGCACGAAGATGCGCTCAAGGACTCACAAAAGCCATGTGAGGTATCCAGATGTGGGAGGCAAAGTATCCAATAAGGGAATGGAAGTTGAGCGTATTGAAAGCGGTGCGTGCACTGTCTTAGTCACCCTGCACGACGTCACCTCTGGCATGCACGCAGTCCTACAGGGTATCAGTGCCGGGGAGCCCTCAGGATACCACTACTACTACTACCACTACTACGACTACTACTACTACTACTACTACCACCGACTACTACTCCTACTCCTACTCCTACTCCTACTCCTACTCCTACTACCTACTACTACCTGCTACCTACTACCTACTACTACCTGCTACCTACTACCTACTACCTACTACCTACTACCGACTACTACTACCTACTACTACTACTACCTACTACTACTACTACTACTACTACGACTACTACGACTACTACGACTACTACGACTACTACCACCACCACCACTACATACTACATACTACATACTACATACTACAACTACTACTACTACTACTACCACCACTACTACTACTACTACAACATACTACTTACTACTTACTACTTACTATTTACTACTTACTACTTACTACCTACTACCTACTACCTGCTACCTGCTACCTACTACCTACTACCTACTACCTACTACCTACTACCTACTACCACTACTACTACTACTACTACTAGTACTAGTACTACTACTACTACTACTAGTACTACTACTACTACTACTCCTACCACTACTACGACTACGACTACGACTAGGACTACGACTACGACGACGACGACGACGACTACTACTACTACTACTTATACTTACTACCTACTACTACTACTACTACTACTATTGCTACTACTACTATGACTACTAACTTACTAACTCACTAACTAACTTGCCTACTTACTCACCTACCCACTCACTGAATTTTTTACTTGCTTATGTACTTACTTACCTGCTTCCTTACTTAGTTACTTACTTACTTAGTTACTTACTTAGTTACTTACTTAGTTTTTTACTTACTTGCTTAACTTGCTAGCTTA